GTATGGTGCCTTTAGAGCTGCTCGCGGCTCAGGGGTAAAAGTTAGCCCAGGAGGGGAGAGAAAGGCAAGAATACCCATAAATGTTTTTGTTTTCTTTCAGGACTGTAGGGAACAGATCCCGCCACCTTCCGGGTGGAACAGGGGACGTGCCTATTTTTGTTGGCAGGCGTTTGAATCGCAGGAAGCATTAGAAGTCCATATAGCTTGTGCCCACAGAGAGACTGAATTATGTGGAGTGTGGGGTTGTAGGCCTAAGTATTGTCGCATGCGTTATCTCCCAACTGAGAGGCGGAGCCACCAAGTAAAAGGCCCAAGAGGGTGCTGCGAGCCATTACTATTTCCCACCCTGCAACTGGACAAGTATGTCTGACAGGGATGTCTGGATAGCAAGGAGGCCGATCAAGGGGATGGATCAGGTCAGGACAAGGCCTGGTCCATCGGGTCCCCAGAGCCCCTAGGCTTTTCCTTTGAATAGGTGGTTGATGGCAACCTGAAGTGGACCATCTTTAGACTTTAAATTATGGAAGAAACCAGACATTATTTTGGACTTTTGATAACGATTGATTTAAAACTATACCCTTTTGAACTTCAGTCAGGGAGCACTCTGCGTGGATTGTTAGAAATAGTAGTGAAATAATCATCCCGCTGTCAAAATCCATAATTGTTTACAATTTACGTGTAGCCGCTAGAGTGAAAAAGCAAGTAATTTCTTTGAAGAGTTCAAGAAAGAGAGTTAATTGTCTAATTAGCCAATAACTTTTGAGTGTTGCGGTTTATTTGTAATTGAGCTATCACTTTAACAGGATAATCGTATCAGCTATTTACAACCCGAGAACATTATATCAAAATAAGTGCGTAGGCCCGACATTAGTAGAGGGTATTTGTTTTCCTTAGTCAGGCTAGTTTACAGCTCATATTTGCCATTGTGAAATTTATGAGGCATGCCTCTTTGTACTTGTTGAGAGTTTTTATTATCACTAAGGGATTGTTTTATAAGAACTATAATATATGAGAATCAGGTTTCTAAATTCGAGGTGAAAACAGTTATAGTTGTCATTTAAGGATCTGGATACCATTTGTTTTGGATTTGGAGGTCTAAGGGTGTTCGAAAAGGAATTTATGAAACGTAACCTGAGGGGTGGAGCAGGGTATTGTTGTTAGTAACATAAGGTTTAGATCCCTAGAGGTTAATTACCTTTATTGTTTAGAGTTTTGTTGGGAACAATCCTTTCGCACTTTAGGTTTAGAATAAATCAAGTTTGCTAGTCGTGGGCATTATCGAGTCCTGTTAGGCTTCTAGCTTTATTCGAAGTGACAAGGCATTTAATACTTTCAGGCATTTATAAAGGGCGTAAAAGACAATACAGTTAGAGAGCTTACTATTTCGAGTTCAAGTTGACCTCATGTACTATAGTGTATGTTCTACATCAGTAGTATAGAAAGTATCCATTTGAAACACATAATAGAATATAGAATTCTTGTTTGTATTAAATTATAAATTTTATAAAAATCAATCTGAGCAGTTATTCATAGATAACTGAAAGGCATTTGATTGCATGCACATTACATATTTATTCATATAAAGTTTAATCGAATAAAATTAATTATAGATATACATTACCATCTTATAGTAAGTATCTTCAGGCTTGATGGCCCTAGTTGTTGTTTTAGCACATTATTGTTGTTGCACATTTATTTAATCCGTATAAATCTGGTGTGTAGCTTTACCCTGACTCTCTCATCTTGAGAGACTGACTTCCCGTACCCTTTACTTAATTTTAGTTATAATCTTTAGAATACGAGCTCTATTATCTATTTCCTGTCACGTTTATCAAATCTCGCATTTCCCGAGATCAGTATTCTATATTTAGCATTGACTTGAGCTAGTATTCTATATGTACAATTGACGATATAGATAATGGTCATAATTGCAGCAAGGACGTCAATAGGGTATACAATAAGATCTGTGAATTTAAGCATAAATGAAGTGCTTTGAAAAAGGATGATTATGGTCAATTGATTAAATGTTGTTGTTATCGAAGAAAAATACCACTTTTTAATTCATTGCAGATCCAGTTTTTCAGTCCATTTGCAATAAACGTTTCAAGAACTTTTTGATCGTGGGTTTTATTGATTTGAATGAGTGCCAATTATTTTTTATTTATTTTCAATTTTGAAAACTACGCATTTGCTTCTGCCTGCTGTCTACGTACATTGTTCGTACGCCACTGCTCTAGATGGTTCCAGTTTATATCTTCCCCGCCCATGTGGCCATTCGACCAGGAATAACATCCATGGTCCGATTTCCTAAAGCGATAATCTATATATGCACTGAATACTAGAATGTATAGTATATTTTTTTCCAAATAGTTCGTACAATTATGTCAAAATGTTCAAAATAAAAATAATTAGTACAATGATGTCAAAATGTTCACCCTGAATGTAATCCTTGATCCGCCCCTGTTGTATCCTAGGAACAATACAATAGAATTTAAAAGAGTGTCCAATCTTCATTGTATATTTTGCCAGCAAGATGGAAGCTGTGTATCAAGATTATTTTGGTCAGTACTTATAATATTGATGTTTGGGAGTAAACAGTTAAACACCGGTGCAGCTTTCAAATGTCTGATAGGATACTAATCACATCTAGGTTGGGGGGCGGATTAGACAAGAAGTGAAAACTAAAATAGCTAAAAAAAGAAAAAAAAATTGAATCAACATGTAGCCATTCTGGAATTTGAAACACACAAATTTCTCAATCCTTAACCCTCAACATCCACCAATCAAACAGATGATCATATGATTAAATCTGATGATGAACTAGATTCCCTTGACTTATCAGAATACTCTCAAACAACTCCTACAAAAAGTCCCCAGCCATTAACATCCACCAATCAAACAAATGACCATATGATTCTATCAGATGATGACTTAGATTCCCTAGACATATCAAAATACCCTCAAACCATTAGAAAAAGTCCCCAACCCTCAACATCCAAACAACATACTCCAAGTAAATATTCCCACAACTAAGACTTTTACAGTTAATAACTAGATTCTATTCCAACTACCATAGTGTTGAGCAGTGTTTTTCCGAAGAGAATTCTCTCTAACCAAAAAATAAAATTTCTAGATGATAAGGTATTATTATTATTATATAAAAACCATCAACATAAGTTGAGAACCAGGATGCAATCAATATAATTATCGTCCTAGAGTAGGATTAATCCTGAACATTAAATAAACATGGAACACTACTACTTATTTTGTGTTAAATCATTTATACGGAATTAACATCCCGCAACACAAATAAATCATAATACAACATGATATAACATGTCTACCTTAACATAATATAACATATGTCCCTCAGGTAGAAATGCATATCTACCTCTGGATAAACCCCATATCAAAAACCTCCCAGAAGAAATAACCCTTATTTATCTTTTTTTTGGGGGGGGGGTGTCACATTAAATCTGCTTTTCTACATTATGGATGAATTGTGGTTCTGATTGTTATCTTTTTTTATTCAAAATGTCTTATTTTTGTCAGGAAGATGACACATTTAAACTGCATTTTCACAATATGAATTAAATACTTCTTGAAAAAATGCAATATCTTTAACTTATTATTAATAGATTCTCTTCTTCCCATTTTGTCACATTTACTGCTTTACTCCAATAAAAGGGGGATGTTGAACTCCAGATGAATGTCTTCCTAATAAGATTGATGATTATTATTACTATATTTTTGGGTAGAGTAGTCCAGACCTCTCAAGTTACAGTGATGTAGAGGGGAATACATTTGATATGAGTGCACCAAGGGTAGTTAAAATACAGACAAACATTCATGATCCCAAACTCCAGAACATCATGTCAGACCAGTTGATCAGCTGACTTTAAATGACCCAGTTATTGCAACAGATTGGAAGATTGGTAAGTTCTAAACTATTTAGTTGATAACTTTATGTTATGACTGTACCGTATTTACAGAGAACCTCATTAGTGAAATTTAAGCTGTAAATAAAAATTGGGAGTCATCGAATGCTAGTCAACCATCAGAATGTTGAACATGTGCTGAACTGCTGAACACAGCTTATAGATGCAAAGTACAAGGAAAAAGTACATTGCATCTGGAAAGAAACTAAGATTCAATAAATTAAATTACAGTTCAACAGACAGCTCTGCATCATTTGAATATAGTTTTTATAGGCGGAGACCTGCATATATATAAAAAAACATCAACATAAGTTGAGAACCAGGATGCAATCAATATAATAATTATCGTCGTAGAGTAGGATTAATCCTGAACATTAAATAAACAAGGAACACTACTTATTTTGTGTTAAATCATTTATACGAAATTAACATCCCGCAATCTTTTAGCAATATGTGTTCATATAGATCGTAACAGGTGTCTAGAAAGACATGGTAAGTTTATATTTAAGACATTTTATGTACTTTTGCTGTAATTTGGTATTTTAAAAGTCACATGACATTTTAAGCCAATCAGGGGCCTTTACTTTCATATTTAAATCTTCAGACATTCAAACATATTGCAGGACAGTAGGTATGCCTTCAACTTCTCTGCTTTTCTTTTACTCTCCCAGTGTCAGATTTAGTTTCACGTTGTTGTCAAACTATCACTGAACTCCGGCACATTGGGCATTCAGCCAATAGCATGGTTTGAGTTGGAATAAATGGTTGACAAAGACGTGCTAAAGAATGTATATTCTGGCCTAGCATTCAAGCTGAAATAAAGCAATTTGTCTCTGAATGCTATATCTGTAGAGAATTTGAGACATCAAAGACAAATGAAAAGCTGATATACCCATGATATACCTGATCGACTTTGGCAAGATGTTGGTACTGATTTGTTTGAGTTTGAAAACAAAGAATACTTAGTGATAGTTGACTATTAAAGTGGTGTTTTTGTACTTGACTACATACTTGACAGGAAATCATCTACTGTGATCAGAAAACTCAAAGCAAACGTTTCCAACAGAAACTTTGGAATGTATTGCAATTGGACCGTTTGAATCGGACAAAGCAAGGTGCTAAAATAATCTGTTCACAACAGTGAAAAGAGCGGTGAGTTTTATGAAGTAAACTTTTTCAACCTACAGAACTAACAAATAATTAACTTATTATGGAAAAATTGCTAATTTTCCACCATTCTTTGATACATTGGCTAGATGAGTTTCAAAAGGCACATATGAACAATTTAGAACTTAATTCTTGCGAATTTGAAATAAATTATGTCGGAATTAGAGGCGGTCAATTCAAATGGCACGAGAAGATGGACAAGAAGTATCAGGAAAAAGTCTGTTTTCATATTTAACTGAAGCGGTTTATGATTTCAAGCCTACGATGGTTTTTCAATTAGGTGGAAATGACCTTGATGTCAAAATTTCAGATTCTGATCAAGTTGTAACGGCAATATTTAGTTTTGTTAACTATTTGATTTTCGGCATGGATATACAGACAGTTGTCATCGGACATGTATTTCGCCGTTTGAAGCCTTGTTATATGCATTATAATGCTAAGATTGAAGCTGTAAATAATACATTGACTGCAAAAGCATCTTCGTGCAACAACATATACATTATGCCCAATAAAGGGTTTAAAGATGAAGCCGAGGCGAAACATTACAGAGACGGGATACATTTGTCTCACAGTGGCAATGTTTGCTTTGCTAACAAAATTCACAGAAAAGTAGTGTTCGCAAGAGATCATTCTTACGCAGTATGTAAACATTATTTTGTTCTGTAGGTTCCAAAGATGTATTTCGATATGATTTTTTTCAATTTTGTACTAATGCTATTTTAAGTTTTTAAAAGTTTTCAACAGTCTTAAATCATAAATATGTTTATGTATTAATACAATCAGATACATAACATTTTTGCCATTCAACCCTTGTAAGGGTTCAATGTGATATTTGAGAAATGATAAACGTTTTGCAGTTATATTACCTCTTCATTTCACAGTAACCTTTCTGGCCAATTGTTATATTTGCAAATATGTTTGTTACTTGATTATTGTATCATAAAAACATTGTATACACATTTATGAAGCAGATTCAGGATGCATTACCATTGCACTTTATCATGCTCAGTTCTGTCGTTTTGCCTATTTTGGTTTAATTTAAAAATATTTTGTAATTTGCAATTACTTAATTCTGTTTTCAGTAAATACGTTTTATGAGTATTTATGAAACAGATTCAGGACACGTTGCCATTGCACTCTATTCTGGCCGTAATTGTCATGTTGCCATTTTATTGGCTTAATTCAAAATATTTTTCAATTTGCAATTACTGTATTCTGTTTTCAGTAAATACATTTTATGAGTATTTATGAAACAGATTCATGATACATTGCCATTGCACTCTATTCTGGCCGTAATTGTCATGTTGCCATTTTATTGGCTTAATTTAAAATACTTTGTAATTTGAAATTACTGTATTCTGTTTTCAGTAAATACATTTGTGAGCATTTATGAAACAGATAATGACACATTGCCATTACACTCTATTCTGGCCGTTGTTGTCATGTTGTCATTTTAATGGCTTATTTTAAAGTATTATAATAGATACGTTTTATGAATAAAACATATTCATGACTATATTTTTGTCTCTAATTTATTCAAATTTTTTTAGGTTACACCATTATTTTTACTTCCAGGAAGGCCATGCCAAAGGCAAAGGAAAAAAGAGTAAAAACACCGGGGCAACAGGTAGAAAAAGGAAAAACCTTGACGGCGAAACTGATCCAGAATCAATGAACAGAAAGTTTAAGTACCAACATCTTAAGAATCATCCAGATAAACTGTTGACCACCCTCACAAAAAATCATACTTTCATCAAAGAATGTATGATTAGAATGCAAAAGACAGAACCAGCAGGCTGATGATTCCTGGGAAGTGAAGAGCAGACCTTATATTCGATGGCGTTTCAGTAACTTTATCCCCTGTATGTCATAGCTCAATCTTCATATCTAATCCCTCCTTTTGTCATTCCAGATGCCCAGACCGGAACACAGCCACCGCCTTGGGTGCAAGACCTCGGTTTATTGCAAAGAGTGCGGAAGATATTTTAATCATCTGGGTCTGTTACAACACCACATGGCAAAGAGACACCCAAAGCGACACAACCCTGAGGGAAACCGTTGCAAGAAGGATGGCTGTGGAAATTTTTTTCATTCATGTTTGTCAATAATTGCTAAAGGCTTAGTAAGCCCATTTGATATCCATAAATACACCATGAATTATGTTATATCATCATATGATCCATGTTATCAAGACTGATGATGAAATAATTACAATCATATGTCAACACCAACTTGTAAAGCCTCCAAATATTAACTTTATAGCTGCCATCATCTACTGATCATGTACAAGTGTTTCTGGACTTAGGCACTACTGTATTCCTGTGCAGCTTCAATTGAGAACAGGCTGGCAAGATCTTACAGCACAAGATGGAGACCTCAATGGCAAACTACAAGCTATAGCCATGTATTTAGAGATGGACAATGTGCTACCAGATTGACAATTCTAATGAATCGATGAACAGAAAGTTTAAGTTCCAACATCTAAAGAATCATCCAGACAGACAATTTCAATGTTATAACAAATAATGGGACTGAATCAATGAACAAAAGTTTAAGTACCAACATCTAAAGAATCATCAGACTGACAATTTTATTTTATTTAGAGATGGACCATGTGCCACCAGACTGACAATTTTAATGTCATGATAACAACAAATAATGGAACTGAATCAATGAACAGAAAGTTTAAGTACCAACATCTAAAGAATCATCCAGACAGACAATTTCAATGTTATAACAAATAATGGGACTGAATCAATGAACAAAAGTTTAAGTACCAACATCTAAAGAATCATCCAGACTGACAATTTTAATGTTATAACAAATAATGGGACTGAATCAATGAACAAAAAGTTAAAGTACCAACATCTTAAGAATCACCCAGATAAACTGTTGACCACCCTCATAAAAATCATACTTTCAACAACGAATGTATGATTAGAATGCAAAAGACAGAATCTATTTGAGAAGTTGTTCTGGAAGAAAGTAACAACAGGCTCTTCCATGTGAACTCATTTTCAGATCTAAAGTGTTTGGAAAAATAATCATGGCAATGCTGTCAACATTTTTCATTCGTGTTTGTCAATAATGGCTAAAAACTTAGTATGCCCAATTGATATCTATAAATACACCTAAGAATTATGTCATATCATCATATGATCCTTGTTATCAAGATTTTGTGCTGTTAATACAATTAAATGTAATTATAGTAGACTTGCCTCATAATAAAAAAGAAATTACTTAAATAGCATTATGTATAGTTAGTTATCACAATACAATAAAAGCTATGTTTGAGAGTAAACAACTTTTGAGGTATGCAGCTTGTCTGCTCCTCATGCCTACTCAGGTGGGAAACAGAGGATATATGCCTGGGGCTTGGATTCATCACCGAAGCAAATTGTCATTAATTCTAGATTCCAATAATAACATGCACAACAATACAATAGGAAAAACAAAATAAGAATTGGTGATGTTTGAATTCCGTAAGAGCCTGAATTCTTCTGACAACCCACATGTCTATTCCTCGTGCCTACTTAGGTGGGAAAGAGGCTCAGATTTCAGAGTCCAACTTTATAACTACCATTTGAAGATACATTGAGGTTGTTTGTAATGGGAGGATTTATTATAACTAACCCTAATAGTGGCTTAGGATAACAGAACAAATTGGGGGGCAGTGTAACAGAAATTTACTATTTCTGGTTCTTAAGAGTTATTTTTAATGATAAATTTTCACAGAATGTTGACTTAATTTACAAATGTGGCGGAGCAGGTCATTTTTACAGAAAGAATCATATCTCACTTTGAAGACCACTCTACATTGGGGGAAGTGTTTGGCATAGCTAAATGTAAGATATTGCCGCCTCAAAAATTATATTATCCTGTATTTCCATACACAAGTTCAAATTCGAAGAAACTCACTTTTTCTTTGTGTGAGAATTGTTCGGAAAATGAGAATCAAGAACCATGTACATGCAAGGAGGATGAGTGAAGTTTCACAGGCACTTGGGTAACGCCTGAATTGAATTTGGCATTAACACATGGCTATAAACTTATTCACATTCACTAAGTATGGCATTTTCCCGAAACCACCAAATATGATTAGGTGAATTCTGAAAAAGAGCCCGAAAATCAATCGTATTCGGGGATGTTCACCGATTATGTTAATACGTTTTTGAGACTTAAGCAGAAAGCCCCGGGTTTCCCAAAAAATCTTCCCGATGAAAAATCAAAATAAGCTTACATAGCTAATTACTTAGAACATGAAGGTATCGAATTGGATATTCGAGAAATTGTTACAAACTTGGCTCTCAGGGGTGTCGCGAAAATATCACTCAATCCATCGTGGGGGAAATTCAGAATGCAGAATTCTTTTCTAAGTACCAAAATATTTGACCTGGATGAACTAGAAGATTTTTTCAAACTTCTGGCTGATACCACTAAAAGTGTATTATCTTGGGATGTACTAGACGATGACTATCTTTTGGTAAATAATATTGACGATAAAACAACAGAAATAGAAAATGATAATACAAATATATTTTTGGCCGTTTATACAGCAGTTTATGGTCGCATTAAGATGTACGAAAAATTACATCAGTAGGGAACCAGGGTGTTGTATTACGACACCGATTCTACATTTTACGTATCTAAGCCAAACAAGATGACTTGACATTGAGTAATTACCTGGGTGGATTGACGAATGAACTGACTGAAGACAATTACATAACGCATTTTGTTTCCAATGGTCCTAAGAACTACGCCTATTCAAACCAACACAAGAACCAACTTACTTTAACTTTAAGAAAGAATCATATCTCACTTTGAAGACCACTCTACATTGGGGGAAGTGTTTGGCATAGCTAAATGTAAGATATTGCCGCCTCAAAAATTATATTATCCTGTATTTCCATACACAAGTTCAAAATCGAAGAAACTCACTTTTTCTTTGTGTGAGAATTGTTCGGAAAATGAGAATCAAGAACCGTGTACATGCAAGGAGGATGAGTGAAGTTTCACGGGCACTTGGGTAACGCCTGAATTGAATTTGGCATTAACACATGGCTATAAACTTATTCACATTCACGAAGTATGGCATTTTCCCGAAACCACCAAATATGATTATTAGAATTCCGAAAAAGAGCCCGAAAATCAATCGTATTGGGGGATGTTCACCGATTATGTTAATAAGTTTTTGAGACTTAAGCAGAAAGCCCCGGGTTTCCCCAAAAATCTTCCCGATGAAAAATCAAAATTAGCTTACATAGCTAATTACTTAGAACATGAAGGTATCGAATTGGATATTCGAGAAATTGTTACAAACTTGGCTCTCAGGGGTGTCGCGAATATATCACTCAATCCATCGTGGGGGAAATTCGGAATGCAGAATTCTTTTCCAAGTACCAAAATATTTGACCTGGATGAACTAGAAGATTTTTTTAAACTTCTGGCTGATACCACTAAAAGTGTATTATCTTGGGATGTACTAGACGATGACTATCTTTTGGTAAATAATATTGACAATAAAACAACAGAAATAGAAAATGATAATAGAAATATATTTTTGGCCGTTTATACAGCAGTTTATGGTCGCATTAAGATGTATGAAAAATTACATCAGTAGGGAACCAGGGTGTTGTATTACGACACCGATTCTACATTTTACGTATCTAAGCCAAACAAGATGATTTGACATTGAGTAATTACCTGGGTGGATTGACGAATGAACTGACTGAAGACAATTACATAACGCATTTTGTTTCCAATGGTCCTAAGAACTACGCCTATTCAAACCAACACAAGAACCAACTTACTTTAACTTTTAGAAAGAATCATATCTCACTTTGAAGACCACTCTACATTGGGGGAAGTGTTTGGCATAGCTAAATGTAAGATATTGCCGCCTCAAAAATTATATTATCCTGTATTTCCATACACAAGTTCAAAATCGAAGAAACTCACTTTTTCTTTGTGTGAGAATTGTTCAGAAAATGAGAATCAAGAACCATGTACATGCAAGGAGGATGAGTGAAGTTTCACGGGCACTTGGGTAACGCCTGAATTGAATTTGGCATAACACATGGCTATAAACTTATTCACATTCACGAAGTATGGCATTTTCCCGAAACCACCAAATATGATTAGGTGAATTCTGAAAAAGAGCCTGAAAATCAATCGTATTGGGGGATGTTCACCGATTATGTTAATACGTTTTTGAGACTTAAGCAGAAAGCCCCGGGTTTCCCCAAAAATCTTCCCGATGAAAAATCAAAATTAGCTTACATAGCTAATTACTTAGAACATAAAGGTATCGAATTGGATATTCGAGAAATTGTTACAAACTTGGCTCTCAGGGGTGTCGCGAATATATCACTCAATCCATCGTGGGGGAAATTCGGAATGCAGAATTCTTTTCCAAGTACCAAAATATTTGACCTGGATGAACTAGAAGATTTTTTCAAACTTCTGGCTGATACCACTAAAAGTGTATTATCTTGGGATGTACTAGACGATGACTATCTTTTGGTAAATAATATTGACAATAAAACAACAGAAATAGAAAATGATAATACAAATATATTTTTGGCCGTTTATACAGCAGTTTATGGTCGCATTAAGATGTACGAAAAATTACATCAGTAGGGAACCAGGGTGTTGTATTACGACACCGATTCTACATTTTACGTATCTAAGCCAAACAAGATGACTTGACATTGAGTAATTACCTGGGTGGATTGACGAATAAACTGACTGAAGACAATTACATAACGCATTTTGTTTCCAATGGTCCTAAGAACTACGCCTATTCAAACCAACACAAGAACCAACTTACTTTAACTTTTAGAAAGAATCATATCTCACTTTGAAGACCACTCTACATTGGGGGAAGTGTTTGGCATAGCTAAATGTAAGATATTGCCGCCTCAAAAATTATATTATCCTGTATTTCCATACACAAGTTCAAAATCGAAGAAACTCACTTTTTCTTTGTGTGAGAATTGTTCGGAAAATGAGAATCAAGAACCATGTACATGCAAGGAGGATGAGTGAAGTTTCACGGGCACTTGGGTAACGCCTGAATTGAATTTGGCATTAACACATGGCTATAAACTTATTCACATTCACGAAGTATGGCATTTTCCCGAAACCACCAAATATGATTAGGTGAATTCTGAAAAAGAGCCTGAAAATCAATCGTATTGGGGGATGTTCACCGATTATGTTAATATGTTTTTGAGACTTAAGCAGAAAGCCCCGGGTTTCCCCAAAAATCTTCCCGATGAAAAATCAAAATTAGCTTACATAGCTAATTACTTAGAACATGAAGGTATCGAATTGGATATTCGAGAAATTGTTACAAACTTGGCTCTCAGGGGTGTCGCGAATATATCACTCAATCCATCGTGGGGGAAATTCAGAATGCAGAATTCTTTTCCAAGTACCAAAATATTTGACCTGGATGAACTAGAAGATTTTTTCAAACTTCTGGCTGATACCACTAAAAGTGTATTATCTTGGGATGTACTAGACGATGACTATCTTTTGGTAAATAATATTGACAATAAAACAACAGAAATAGAAAATGATAATACAAATATATTATTGGCCATTTATACAGCAGTTTATGGTCGCATTAAGATGTACGAAAAATAACATCAGTAGGGAACCAGGGTGTTGCATTACAACACAGATTCTACATTTTACGTATCTAAGCCAAACAGGATGACTTGACATTGAGTAATTACCTGGGTGGATTGACGAATGAACTGACTGAAGACGATTACATAACGCATTTTGTTTCCACTGGTCCTAAGAACTACGCCTATTTGAATATTTTTTACATAACAGTTTTATTCAAGCCAACACACGAACCAACTTTAACTTTTACTTTAACTTTTATCTTGCCAATATAAGTAAAGTTTAATAGGTAAACTACCTGACATGACTAATGTCCTGGAGTAGGCACCCAAATAAACACTATTTAATATTGCATCATTTATTCCCTGTTACTTGGATTCACTGGTCTGGTATGCTCAAGTCAAAGAAACACATATGTTTTAACGGATCTTAAGTAATGACCTGCAAGTTTCCTACATATTACATGGAGAGCAAACTTATTCAAGATGTGCGTTTGGATGCTTATGCTTATAACTCTACTTTAATGTACAAGCCTGCGAAAAGCAATGTTTTTGTGTTTCAGGAAATGCAATCTTTTGTTGGTATATTAAAATATCATTAATATCATCATTAATATAATTATTAAGATTCTAAACTAGTATTCCGTACAGACGTTTATCTAGATTCATCAGGATTGATCTCCAATCTAAGTTATTTAGTTATTTTTAAAGTCATGTCATTCTTATATTGTAATTTTAGGACCACTCCTGCACTTCGTGATATTGATCAAACCTCAACCTTAAGAATTATTTTTAATTCATACATTTTGTACAGAAATTTGACTAAATTTATCGATGTGGTGGAGCAGGTCGTTTTTACAGAAATTTAAAGATCTTTGCACAATCTTTTTAACTGAAAATCTGCATGTCTTATATCAATTATTATGTCACTGACATGTTGGGCCAGTGAATTGTCGTTTAAAAATGAAATAGCTAAAATAATTTGTGAAGAAATACATGTTTTAAGAAATGATGTTCCTCATGATGATACCCGCAATGAGGGCCTCAGCAGTGATAGAAGATTCACTGAACTTTACATTGAAACATGACAAATCAGAATGGAGGATTTTACTGTTTTTCTTTATACCTTCACTTTGGGGTATTATTCCTGATGAATATTTTGTTTATTTCTTTATTGTGCTGACATCTATAAATTAATATACACTTCATTTGCTGATCTGAGATCACAGGCTGAGACTGGTGTCAGGGTGTCTGTCTGTCTTCAGAAGTTAATTTTGTGGAAATTTCAAAGCTGTTTTGAAAAGATTAGCAAACTTTTGATTCACTTTTGATTTTTGAATTGTTGACAAAATTATGACCCTGGAAATTGATTCATTTAAGGTTCTACAAAGTGATAACATGAATCCCATTTTCGCGCATCTATGCATGATATGCGTATGCATATGGAAAAGGGAAAGACAAGTGATAATGGATTGTAAGGACCCAAATAAATGCAGTACATATGGTAAGTGTGATAGGGGCAACTGTAACATATAAATTACACAGAGGATAGAAAGCACTTAGTCTGCTCCCTCAGCTACACCAAGGATGACTGGTTCGACCACTGAACTATTCACCACTACAACGATTGATGGATAGATCAAATTGAAAGCCACTAGCAGCACTGACCTGTCCCTTTCCTGGAAGATAGCGATTGGTGTAACTGTCATCATTTCTTGCATAACTGGCTGTGGTAAGTTACTCTCCCACTAAAATGTATATTTTTATTTGGCTTTGCACTCTGGAATTTGGTATATGCATGAATATAACTGAATATAGTTAAATGACATTCACTATGGCAGATATCTTCTTCAAAACAATATAATCATGAATATATGTTCAGGACTGTCAGAGGCCCCTGAAATAGAATGCTTGACTGTTCCTGTTCCAATGATGGAGAGGGGAAATATTTAGTAGTGTTACCCAATTACTCTATGCAACATGGTTTTGCTCCCAGACGGACGAACTCAAATTGCTTTTGGGAATTGTGCAACCAATGTTTCTACAGAGATCTCAGAGGATATATCGACCGAGAGTCAAACCCGCTACACGATCAACACTTCTATTTCGGATGACTCGTCTATTACACAAGAATCAGTTTCATTACATAATACTGATTCAGACTCACACTTGTGATTAGTGACTCATCTGATGTTACAACTGTTCCCACAATGAAGCCAGAATTAATATTGACAAATTCTTAATGACTGTGTATTCATCAGAATATTAGAATTAGGTATGTGTTGAAAACACATCGACCTATTTGACTCAGGCAATTAAAGTTTTATGATTATTTGTCTGTATGATAGCTTGGGTTGATCTGTAAATGTATTACTAGATTGCTGGAGTTTAATTAACAGTATTATGGTGCAAGTGTAGATTAATCTAAGCTTTGATTTCTTGTTCAACATTCAATGATGACATTTTAAGCTTAGGATAACAGTTTTGTCAAGCCATAAAGGTTTGTTATTTGGTAAGATATGAGATGTAGTAGAGATGTATTGCTTAGAGTGAACCCCCCCTGGGAACACTTCATGATGCATCTGTTCATTTGTAAGAGACTAAATCAATGTATCTCCCCCTCCCTAAGCGAATATAGCTCCCAATGTTTAATAAATAATATCACCTATGCAATTGAGCTCATTCACCCTTAGAAATACTATAGGTGCTGTACAAAATGGAAACAGCTTTTTCCTTTCTAAAAGTCACAACAACTCTGAGTGTTTGTAAAAAAGAAAGAAGAACACTAAGTTTCTAAAAAATGATGATGAACAGATAGCGTTAAGTAAATCATTCTTTCAACGCATGAAAAAAAATATCCATGAGATTGAGCTTTGGACGGAGAATTTCCTGCTGAACCATTAGATAAAACAGCACAAAATCATAGACAATACCTATTTTGTTACGGGGCAAGAAGACAATGTTACCATAAGTAAAATGGGAAAACACCAGCACAAGGTGATTACTTTAAGCTTACTTCAACAGCTAGTCAGGAAGATACTTGTCTTAAGTTTTTGTATAGATTTTTTAATGACGCAAATGGAAAAAGAACTTTTGTGAATTCATGGATATTAGACTATGATTCCATTCATAAACGTTACCAGCAAGAAAAATTTACTTTGATAGATGTTGAATCGCTCGAGTAAAGAACTCCCTCAGACAGTGTGTTGGCGAGACATTGTATAGCGTTCCTGGTCAACTGATGCAACTGAATTATTAGCCATGGCCAAGTTAGTGATTGCAAAAACTTCATCATAATTATAGTATATTTGAGAACATAAAGATCTATTGGTGATGTTCTGTTTTCCTTTTATAGCTCAAAATTCATATTTCTGACAAAATTTGATTTTACTAGGTATGATCATGTAAACGATGACTTGAATAAACGAATGGATGAATTTTTGGCTGTTGAGTGTCACATGTGAAATATATCTTAGGACGGCATATGAAACAGCACAGTAATTAAATATTTGACAAAGTATGATCGTCTTATCGCATTCGCATCAATTTAGTAATTAACTAATGCATTTCACCTTTATGAATGAGGATTAAGAGTAGATTGATTTCAGAATGTAAGTTACTACGCCATATATGCGGAGTATTCTTGGCCGAAAAAGAATTGCAAATACATATGGTATTTACGCATCAGCAGAACCTCAGAATGAAGGGGTGCCAGGCAGGACATTCAAGAAACTAAATGAGAAAGAATTGTGGAAGTCAATGAACAATTTTGATGTGGTAGCAGCACAAGTAGCAGGAAATTACAAAAAAAATGTAATGATGTCAGATTTGGAAATACAAGAAATATGTGTTAAGACAATGTATATGGTTAAAATGCTACTTGAATACATATCGGTGGTGAAAAAATGTTTTATAGAAAAGTATCTTTAGCAAGGTCATCTAGAATCAGAGGTAATGAACATCAGAGGAATTACAACGCCAATGTGGATAAGATTAATGCAAACTTGTCACACGAACTAAAGAATGCAACAAGGATATACATGTGGAGGACCAAGGGCCAGATTTTGAATGGTTTGGCCATGCTAGACACTGATGGTATCCATTTCAATGAGGATGGTCATTATAAATACTGGTACAGTTGACAAGTCAATACACTGCACAGGCATTTTAGGCGTAAAGAAATGTAGATTTGCTAAGCTTATGGAAATCTCATTAGTTAGGCTAAGTTCGTGCACTGATCAGGAAGCGTTGGTAATTATTCTTACTGCTAGGGGAGGTACAGTAAAAAGGGGAGGAGTTAACAGAAACCGTGTATAAGTAAACAAAATTTCCATTGTAAGGCAGGTGTTTGGCTGTCACTCTTATTGAGTCAGCCAATCAGTGCTAGGCAGGATTAGGGAGTAGGAACTGACGTTAGGATGAGGTATAAAATGGGAGGACTGAACAGGTTTAAGTTAGCCTGAATGGGGTTGCCAACGTAAGAATCATGACAGACACCAAAGAATCTCAAGTGCTGGCGGCAGTCTTGAAGCCATCAAAAACAGTTGGATCAATCAGCAGTCGGATCCAGGGAATCGACCGTCTAGATGTGACATTACCAATGGCGAGATTGGTAGCGGAGGCCGAGCGGGCATCAAGGAGCCTAGGCATTCAAGCCAGAGATCTCCGGACAATGTTAGTTCGCATCGACCACAATCAGATAAAACCTCTGACCATAACCTAGATATGAGTAACCCATCGAATGCAAATTTGACAAATGAACAAACAGAATCTTTTGATTTAGTTTATAGAGGAAGAACTACCTTTAAAAATGCCGTGGTTAAATTCATATACGACTCTACGATAGAGGAGGTAAATGAGGGGGCTCTGCTACGTAATCATAATGATACTCTAGAATGTATATTTAGGAATATTTTGATAGAGAGCACTTGTGCCCATCATGATCACGACATGATACACATTGTTATTCAATACACCGATTTACAAACGCCAATTATTGTAACGGCTAGATGTGTACGTGACATGACCAGTTCTGACATTTTGAACAAAGTAGAGAGCACTTTAAATTCTAACGAAACGTTGAAAATGGATTCGTAACTAAATATTATTGTGTCAATTATCAAAATGCCATCAGGCTTAGGTCGTGTAAAAATACAAACACGTGATGACTTAAAACCAGTGCCAGTTGACAACTTTGATTCTTTTGAAGTATTGCTAGATTGTAAAATTATAATTGTGACCCAGAGACAAAGGAGATAAGATTACATATATCAACAAAAAGATGTGAAAATATACACATACAATTTTTGTATTTTTGACCTACGATCCTACTTCATTATGACGCAGTAATTAATTATAAAGGTCTTTTCAACATGGATTTTTGTTATGGTTGTTCCAATTTTTATTCTAACGATAATCATAGTTGTAAATAAGTGTGACATATGTAACGAGACAAATGACAAGTGTATCGTTATTCCTGACGAGGTGCGGTCATGTGACGAATGCTTAAAGAGTAACAATGCTTGTTACGAGAGGCATAAATTTGGTCGAGGTACATCGAACAATGTACCTCAAAAATCTTTATGTGAGGCTCGTTGGTATTGCATTACATGTGATAGATCGTATCTCGAAGAAGGTATCACATAAGTCGCATAAATGTGACCATTACAAGTATTACATATGTCACTATATTGTTCCTTACGATCATATATGTTACATGAGAGCAGAGCCATTAAACTTTACCAAAAAGTTTAAAGTTGTATTTTACGATTTTGAAACACATCAAGATTCGATTATTCAATGTCGAGATGGTTATAAGCCTTATAACAAGGATAAATGCAATTTGTGTACAGAAAATGAAGTTTGCGCCGAGTGTAAGCTATGTACCAACTGTAATAGCTCCAAATGCTCTAGGCAACAACATACACCTATTTACGTAGCCGCCTTTTCAATTTGCTATCATTGTGTGGATAAAACAGAACTGGAGAAATGTTCCCATTGCGGTACACGTTGTTCTTGGCTCAAAACTCGAAAGGGTACGATTCATATTTTGTCTTGAAATATTTCTTGAGTGTTGGAATACATATATCCAACTTGACTTGTTCCGATTTAAAAATTACTTTGTTACAGATAGGACCATCACAAATTTTGGTGATACTATTAACCATTTGAATATGGCTCTTGCAAAGTTACCCAAAGCATTTGGGTTGCCTGAATTATCCAAGGGATTTTTCCCACATTTTATAGATTTGAATTCAGTAAATTAAAACATGTTTTATATTTGTATTGTTATATAGTTCATTTTATCAGGGCCAATAGTGCCTAGGCGTAGGCCCTGTACTACTGTATTGTACGACTTATTATTATGAAATAAAGAAAACATGAAAACTTGAATTATCCAAGGGATTTTTCCCACATTTTATAGATTTGAAATCAGTAAATTACGACAGGTTTTATATTTGTATTGTTATATAGTTAATCTTAACAGGGCAAATAGTGCCTAGGCGTAGGCACTGTACTACTGTATTGTACGACTTATTATTATGAAATAAAGAAAACATGAAAAAAAGTAAATTACGAGGGGGATATGGAATACCCCCCACAAAGTGCTTACGGTCACGAAAATATGACTCATCAAAGACAGTTAGAATTTTACCATTGGTATCAGAGGGTAAAAGAAGAGGGGAAATTTAACTACACCGAAAGTCTAGCCTTCTATTGTAAGCAAGACGTTAGGATATTAGCTCAGAGTTTCATGAAATATAGGAATATGGTACTTTACGCAACATTTGACTTGGTCAATCCAGGAATAGACCCATTGAGTTATTTAACAAATGCTAAAATGTGCCTTGCTATTTTCAGATCAAATTTTCTGAGAGAATATCACACGTGTACATTAAAAAATCAATCAACCCAATCACTGGTATGAATTACCAACATATGTGTGAGATTACCGCAACACTTTGGAAAAATTGAAAGAAATATTCCCACTTGAGATAGTGAATCATGAATGCGAGTTTAAAAAGGAAGTGAATCAAAATTTTGAGTTGTCAAAGTTTATGGCTACACTTAACTTAGTGGACCATCTGAACCCTAGAGACTCATTTTTTGGAGGCAGATGAAAAACTCGGAGAGCAAATGCGTTACGTAGATTTCACCTCGCTTTATCCTAGCGTAATGAAATAAATAAATAATAAATAATGAAATTTTGACACATTTTGAAACTCACGCAACATTGGGGGAAATGTTTGGTATTGTGAAATGTAAAATATTAGCACCTAGGGACTTGTACCACCCTGTGCTACCATAAGTTCAAAATCAAGCAAATTAACTTTTGCTTTATGTCAAAAATGTTGAGAAACTGAAAATCAAGAGGCGTGTATGTGTAACACGGATGAATGTAGTTTTACAGGCACCTTGGCAAAACCTGAATTGAATCTGGCATTAACACATGGGTATAACCTTTTACACATTTACGAATTATGGCATTTTCCCCCGAGACTACCAAATATGATAAGAAGAATTTTGAAAAAGATCCCGAAAATCAAACACATTGGGGTATATTTACTGAATATGAGAACACATTTCTCCGTTTGAAGCAGCAGGCCTCAGTCACCAGTATTTCACACATTTTTAAGTCCCTAAATGAACAAGCCTTTAGAAAGGGAGACAATGGTATCTCGAGTGGCTTAGTAAAAAAAAGGTTCTTTTTTAAGTAGACCTTATCAGATGATTCGACAGACGGGTCTGCTCCATATTGAATAAGAAGCTCAACCAGTTCCCGATTTCCCACCATTACTGCACAAAATAACGGAGTCGCGTTATAGATCAATTTTGGTTTTGCAGTGGATAGGTCTAGAATACTACCTGATAAATCAATGTCTCTGATGAAACCAGATTTCAATAAAAAAGATACAACATCTGTATTGTGATGCATTACGGCGAGCATCAAACAAGATACCGCTTCGCCATCATCAAATGCATATGTTTGGTTTAATTTCTGTATTCCTTCTTCACGAGACATAGAATTAAACTCTTTCAAAAAATCGTTAAGACTTCCATTTGATATAACATTGATTAGCTTACTTTTAGACATCTTTATTAAATAAATATACAAACTTATGCAATGTAGAAAGGACAATATCTAAATCAATGTGCAATTTTATGAAGCTATAGTATAATAGGAAAACCTTTGATATTTCAACAATTATTCGTACGATAATTGAGGTGTAAATATGTTCAAATAAATATCATATTACAATTTTCATTTATTTCGGAAATATATTCGTGCTAGGCGTTAAAGCATCCCGAAAGAACACGTAGAGTTATAGTCCATTTTGAGTATTTGGTCGTAATACGCCAAACATCCTCCGTCGCAATTTGTAAAATCTCTCGAAAGGCCTCGAAAATATGAGGGGACGACGCTCGAATTAGCTCCATATCCGAAAGGAATCATCCTGGGAAGATTTTTTTTCTCTTTCATTCGATCGTATATAAACTTATAGATTAATCGCGCGCTTTCCGAAAGCCCCTTCCTATTAATATGCATAAGAAATATCTTAGCTTTGTCTATAACTGGTGCCAATGTTTTTCGCCAGTCTGGTATACTGGTATTGAAGGTTTCTAATATCATTCCGACGTTATGTAGATTGTCATTTAGATCAGTGAACAACACAACCAGCTTATATTTTTCGTAAGACGATACTTCAGAATCGTACAAAATAAAATATTGAAACATAAAGGGATTAATTGTTCTCGATATTTTGACAACATTTGCGTCTCGTTTTGCAAGACTCTTCGCTTGTGATAGACAGGCGAGAGAGGCTATCAGAAAACATGACTTCACGAAGAACAAATACATAATTATTTCGCTCGAAGAAAAGAGTTTCGCTGGAGATCGAATTGCAAAAATATTTTTAATGCAGAGAGAGATTCGAACATATATATAACAAATATCTAATACGTCATATCGAAAGTTTTATTCAAAATTTTATTAAAAATTTTATTCAACATTTTATTGAAAGTATTATTCAAATATTTATTCACGATTTCTTTAGAGAAAGAATCATTCACATCTACTCTAAATAGAAGTTTTCGTTCGACGATATTCCTTCTTTTAGAATAAGCGGGTGTAACAAGGGAATTGCATAATCTTCTGAATCTTCACGAGAATGATTTTGAATCATATATTTCGATATCAATCCTACAACACATTTATCAAAAGTAAGAGTATGACCACAGAAGAAAAAATATCCATTTTTACATTCACATCTTATATTTTTGATTCCGTTTTCTGTTTTGATCATCACCGTAAATAAATACGATGGGTGTGCGCTATTTCGGACCAAAAAAGTTCCATTCCTCTTCGATTTTAATACATTGCTGCAATCTTTAAAAGTAGCAAAGGGATAATAGAAACCAATTTCGTTTAGTTCTTTTAATAACTCCGAATAGCTGCTTTCTATAGACATCGAGATTTATCACAAATTTTCTCAATTCTATTGGAAACGATTTCGTTAAATGCAATAGGTCGTTTAAAAAATCTTTTATCAATAAAAAATAACGCCCACAACCTTTGCTTTTGATATGATTTTTTAGCAATTTGAAATTCCCTAGAAATCTCTCCCATTTGCGACAAAATATCTATCCAATATTGTTTTATGTCGTAAAAATTGATTGATCCGGCTAATTTATTTTCGTGTGAGGGTTGCACATCTTCAGCTTGAGCGTGAAAAAATGAAAACAATGTAAACGCTTTAGACGCCTTTTTGCTTATGTTGATCCAATTATACAACGACAATATTCTAATGAAATAAACCATAAGAACTGAAAATAAATAGTCATACGAGTTATATTTATGACAATCATATTCGTGTACCATTTCATGGAAATCTAAACAATGTAATATTGCGTACGATATAACATTCGATTTCGTACGCATTTGTAGAAAAGTCACCAATATCAAATCTTTTATTATATTTTCCCGGGAAAAAGAATGAAAAATATTAAATCCAATGTGGAGTTCGTTACGACTTTCGTCATAAATGTCGTTCAATGTGTTACAAATTGTTATACAATTTTTGAAATATAAATCAATTAATTTTGATATCACAACCTGGCCCGGATAAAACAAACCCTTCAAACTGGGAAAGCAGCCGTTGCAGTGAATGTTCCACACCATCTCTACGCAATTACTATTTTCTATTTCATAATTTAAATGAACGCTGGATGTAAAATATTTTCGATGAATTGCTACATTTTTTAGGTATTCTGATTCATCCTGGAAAATGATGTAACTGCTATATACACTAAATGAATTTGCTTTAAATTCATCTGGAAAATATTCGTTTTCCAATGATTTCGTCAAACATGCGTTCAGATATTTCTTAAATAAATTTTCGTGTCCATTGTTTTCATGGTTCTTTAGAAACAATATGTTTTCAAATGTGTTTTGATGAAGATTTCGCATTCTCCTGTCTATCGAATTAATCGGCTTTAAATTTTCTTCAATCAGTTGATGCATCTTCGTGTAATGGTTGACAGTCTGATGGAATTCTGTTTTTTCTATTTCTATTCTTAACTATCTCTAACATCAAAACACAGAAGAGAATAACGACGTTCAATGCAACAATTGCTTGAGAAATTGATATCCATTTGTACGACAGTTGTTCTACATTTGAATACTTTTTTCCGTTTACATCGGGCTCGCTTGTGTAACTACAAAGAGTATCGAAAAATGTGGAACAATTTGAAATTATTTGTCCGTTAGGAAAACAATCTGAACAGAAAACACAGGTTTTAAATAAAGGCTCTATATATTCGTTTTCCTTCACGGGTCTACAAATGGTATCGACATTTTGGCTGCAAGGCATTTCGACGCATCCATTTGGAAAACATTTTGTGCAAGGAAGACAATTACCATCTGAGTCCAAATATTGTTCGATTGAGGAACAACTCGAGTTCGTGTCAATTAATCTTCCGATTGACACAGATACGTTTAAAACTATATAATAAATAACTGCTGTCAAAACTTTTTTCATATTGAAAATCTTTAATGAAATAGTATTTTCATATATTACAGAAAATACGTAAATTCAACGCAAATGATTTCGGGATAATGAAAATGAGAGCTCGAATATTTCTTATAAACGAATCGCGTGACGTCATTTTCGACCATTTTTGTGATCTTATAACTTTCTTTACTAGAAATACGATTCGATAGAAAAATACTTTCCCTAAATAAGTTAAAAGAACACAAAAATTGTCGAAAGTGACGTCACGCGTAATTTTTGAATAGAATAGTCAAGTGATTTAAATCGACGATCGTTAAAATTTCTTTTAAACAGTTGGACTTATTCTATTAACATTTTTAACAAAGAAATATTTTAAGAGCCACAGTTGCTGCAAAAAATTCCAGTTTCTGTTCTAAATTGTTCGAGTACAGTTGGACATATTGCTTTTTCTTTCTCCCTTTTCCCAAGAGATTGCAAGGATTTATTAAATTTATCGAAATAGAAGAATGAAAATTCAACATATATACATCTCGGATCCGCGGAACGATTGCGTAAATGTTTACACAACTAAGGTTCACGAAGGAAATGTTCTAAATACGTCTCATAGACAAAACGTTTCATTGTCGAAGCTCAACTCATCTATTCCGAAGAAGTCGGACTACATATATGTTGTCGTTATATTTTCTCCTCGAGTAAAAATAATTGAAAGTAAACTTACGTTTGTTCCCGGTATTAATTGTAAAAATTATTACACAAGAGAAATTAATTGGGAACTACTCCCTAACCAAAAGGAAGCAATTTGTCATCCTCTAAATGCAGAACTTCTGTTCATTTTGAAAAACAATACCAGCATTCGTCATTCCGTTTCAATTGATACGGAACTAAAGATAGGAGATCTGTTGCAAATTGGCTTGAAGGAACCAGACGAAGTATTCAGCGAAGAACCCGCTTTGAAAAAGACAAAGTTTGATAAAGAAATTAACAGACAAAAGCCAAAGACAAAGCTTGATAACATACAAAAGTCAAGGTTTTTAGAAGTTCTTTCACACATCGATTTTAATTCATTTTTTCAATTCCAATCAGGTGAGCAAGTCATTCGTCTTTTATTAAAATTGATGAAAAAGAATTTAACAGAATTCGTATTGAAAGATAATTCGTCAGATAAACTTTGCCAACGATATTCCGAAAAGGTTTATTCCATCTTGAAGAGGAAGATTAAGAGTCAAAATATAAGTAAACATGTGTTGGATTATATTTTTCAAATAGTCGGGATCAGCGAAAATGTTTTCGTATTGGATGAATTTTCGTTTATTTGTTCGAAACAAATTGAAGATTTAATCGTTACTTCTCGCGGTCAAGAAGGCGATCATTCTTTCAAAAGCAGTCTTAGACTAGACGAGGGATATTTCATTTCCTTCCACATTGCTCCGAATATTTCAGTATTGTATTCTTATACGGAAGTGGAAGAAAGCGACGAAACTGTTATTCAATTTGTAACTCTTTCCAAGATATTAGAATCCATTTTGGTGAAGGCTCCGGAATATTTCAAAATATTTGTCGAAGAATTAAGGAGTCGTTCCAACGAGATTATCACTTTCATTAGCAATCTTTGTTTCGACATTGATGCAGGCTGCTCTGAGTCCGATAAAAGTTATCACGAATCCATCAAAAGAAAAGACGCGGAACGATTGCGTAAATGTTTACACAACTAAGGTTCACGAAGGAAATGTTCTAAATACGTCTCATAGACAAAACGTTTCATTGTCGAAGCTCAACTCATCTATTCCGAAGAAGTCGGACTACATATATGTTGTCGTTATATTTTCTCCTCGAGTAAAAATAATTGAAAGTAAACTTACGTTTGTTCCCGGTATTAATTGTAAAAATTATTACACAAGAGAAATTAATTGGGAACTACTCCCTAACCAAAAGGAAGCAATTTGTCATCCTCTAAATGCAGAACTTCTGTTCATTTTGAAAAACAATACCAGCATTCGTCATTCCGTTTCAATTGATACGGAACTAAAGATAGGAGATCTGTTGCAAATTGGCTTGAAGGAACCAGACGAAGTATTCAGCGAAGAACCCGCTTTGAAAAAGACAAAGTTTGATAAAGAAATTAACAGACAAAAGCCAAAGACAAAGCTTGATAACATACAAAAGTCAAGGTTTTTAGAAGTTCTTTCACACATCGATTTTAATTCATTTTTTCAATTCCAATCAGGTGAGCAAGTCATTCGTCTTTTATTAAAATTGATGAAAAAGAATTTAACAGAATTCGTATTGAAAGATAATTCGTCAGATAAACTTTGCCAACGATATTCCGAAAAGGTTTATTCCATCTTGAAGAGGAAGATTAAGAGTCAAAATATAAGTAAACATGTGTTGGATTATATTTTTCAAATAGTCGGGATCAGCGAAAATGTTTTCGTATTGGATGAATTTTCGTTTATTTGTTCGAAACAAATTGAAGATTTAATCGTTACTTCTCGCGGTCAAGAAGGCGATCATTCTTTCAAAAGCAGTCTTAGACTAGACGAGGGATATTTCATTTCCTTCCACATTGCTCCGAATATTTCAGTATTGTATTCTTATACGGAAGTGGAAGAAAGCGACGAAACTGTTATTCAATTTGTAACTCTTTCCAAGATATTAGAATCCATTTTGGTGAAGGCTCCGGAATATTTCAAAATATTTGTCGAAGAATTAAGGAGTCGTTCCAACGAGATTATCACTTTCATTAGCAATCTTTGTTTCGACATTGATGCAGGCTGCTCTGAGTCCGATAAAAGTTATCACGAATCCATCAAAAGAAAAGACGCGGAACGATTGCGTAAATGTTTACACAACTAAGGTTCACGAAGGAAATGTTCTAAATACGTCTCATAGACAAAACGTTTCATTGTCGAAGCTCAACTCATCTATTCCGAAGAAGTCGGACTACATATATGTTGTCGTTATATTTTCTCCTCGAGTAAAAATAATTGAAAGTAAACTTACGTTTGTTCCCGGTATTAATTGTAAAAATTATTACACAAGAGAAATTAATTGGGAACTACTCCCTAACCAAAAGGAAGCAATTTGTCATCCTCTAAATGCAGAACTTCTGTTCATTTTGAAAAACAATACCAGCATTCGTCATTCCGTTTCAATTGATACGGAACTAAAGATAGGAGATCTGTTGCAAATTGGCTTGAAGGAACCAGACGAAGTATTCAGCGAAGAACCCGCTTTGAAAAAGACAAAGTTTGATAAAGAAATTAACAGACAAAAGCCAAAGACAAAGCTTGATAACATACAAAAGTCAAGGTTTTTAGAAGTTCTTTCACACATCGATTTTAATTCATTTTTTCAATTCCAATCAGGTGAGCAAGTCATTCGTCTTTTATTAAAATTGATGAAAAAGAATTTAACAGAATTCGTATTGAAAGATAATTCGTCAGATAAACTTTGCCAACGATATTCCGAAAAGGTTTATTCCATCTTGAAGAGGAAGATTAAGAGTCAAAATATAAGTAAACATGTGTTGGATTATATTTTTCAAATAGTCGGGATCAGCGAAAATGTTTTCGTATTGGATGAATTTTCGTTTATTTGTTCGAAACAAATTGAAGATTTAATCGTTACTTCTCGCGGTCAAGAAGGCGATCATTCTTTCAAAAGCAGTCTTAGACTAGACGAGGGATATTTCATTTCCTTCCACATTGCTCCGAATATTTCAGTATTGTATTCTTATACGGAAGTGGAAGAAAGCGACGAAACTGTTATTCAATTTGTAACTCTTTCCAAGATATTAGAATCCATTTTGGTGAAGGCTCCGGAATATTTCAAAATATTTGTCGAAGAATTAAGGAGTCGTTCCAACGAGATTATCACTTTCATTAGCAATCTTTGTTTCGACATTGATGCAGGCTGCTCTGAGTCCGATAAAAGTTATCACGAATCCATCAAAAGAAAAGACGCGGAACGATTGCGTAAATGTTTACACAACTAAGGTTCACGAAGGAAATGTTCTAAATACGTCTCATAGACAAAACGTTTCATTGTCGAAGCTCAACTCATCTATTCCGAAGAAGTCGGACTACATATATGTTGTCGTTATATTTTCTCCTCGAGTAAAAATAATTGAAAGTAAACTTACGTTTGTTCCCGGTATTAATTGTAAAAATTATTACACAAGAGAAATTAATTGGGAACTACTCCCTAACCAAAAGGAAGCAATTTGTCATCCTCTAAATGCAGAACTTCTGTTCATTTTGAAAAACAATACCAGCATTCGTCATTCCGTTTCAATTGATACGGAACTAAAGATAGGAGATCTGTTGCAAATTGGCTTGAAGGAACCAGACGAAGTATTCAGCGAAGAACCCGCTTTGAAAAAGACAAAGTTTGATAAAGAAATTAACAGACAAAAGCCAAAGACAAAGCTTGATAACATACAAAAGTCAAGGTTTTTAGAAGTTCTTTCACACATCGATTTTAATTCATTTTTTCAATTCCAATCAGGTGAGCAAGTCATTCGTCTTTTATTAAAATTGATGAAAAAGAATTTAACAGAATTCGTATTGAAAGATAATTCGTCAGATAAACTTTGCCAACGATATTCCGAAAAGGTTTATTCCATCTTGAAGAGGAAGATTAAGAGTCAAAATATAAGTAAACATGTGTTGGATTATATTTTTCAAATAGTCGGGATCAGCGAAAATGTTTTCGTATTGGATGAATTTTCGTTTATTTGTTCGAAACAAATTGAAGATTTAATCGTTACTTCTCGCGGTCAAGAAGGCGATCATTCTTTCAAAAGCAGTCTTAGACTAGACGAGGGATATTTCATTTCCTTCCACATTGCTCCGAATATTTCAGTATTGTATTCTTATACGGAAGTGGAAGAAAGCGACGAAACTGTTATTCAATTTGTAACTCTTTCCAAGATATTAGAATCCATTTTGGTGAAGGCTCCGGAATATTTCAAAATATTTGTCGAAGAATTAAGGAGTCGTTCCAACGAGATTATCACTTTCATTAGCAATCTTTGTTTCGACATTGATGCAGGCTGCTCTGAGTCCGATAAAAGTTATCACGAATCCATCAAAAGAAAAGACGCGGAACGATTGCGTAAATGTTTACACAACTAAGGTTCACGAAGGAAATGTTCTAAATACGTCTCATAGACAAAACGTTTCATTGTCGAAGCTCAACTCATCTATTCCGAAGAAGTCGGACTACATATATGTTGTCGTTATATTTTCTCCTCGAGTAAAAATAATTGAAAGTAAACTTACGTTTGTTCCCGGTATTAATTGTAAAAATTATTACACAAGAGAAATTAATTGGGAACTACTCCCTAACCAAAAGGAAGCAATTTGTCATCCTCTAAATGCAGAACTTCTGTTCATTTTGAAAAACAATACCAGCATTCGTCATTCCGTTTCAATTGATACGGAACTAAAGATAGGAGATCTGTTGCAAATTGGCTTGAAGGAACCAGACGAAGTATTCAGCGAAGAACCCGCTTTGAAAAAGACAAAGTTTGATAAAGAAATTAACAGACAAAAGCCAAAGACAAAGCTTGATAACATACAAAAGTCAAGGTTTTTAGAAGTTCTTTCACACATCGATTTTAATTCATTTTTTCAATTCCAATCAGGTGAGCAAGTCATTCGTCTTTTATTAAAATTGATGAAAAAGAATTTAACAGAATTCGTATTGAAAGATAATTCGTCAGATAAACTTTGCCAACGATATTCCGAAAAGGTTTATTCCATCTTGAAGAGGAAGATTAAGAGTCAAAATATAAGTAAACATGTGTTGGATTATATTTTTCAAATAGTCGGGATCAGCGAAAATGTTTTCGTATTGGATGAATTTTCGTTTATTTGTTCGAAACAAATTGAAGATTTAATCGTTACTTCTCGCGGTCAAGAAGGCGATCATTCTTTCAAAAGCAGTCTTAGACTAGACGAGGGATATTTCATTTCCTTCCACATTGCTCCGAATATTTCAGTATTGTATTCTTATACGGAAGTGGAAGAAAGCGACGAAACTGTTATTCAATTTGTAACTCTTTCCAAGATATTAGAATCCATTTTGGTGAAGGCTCCGGAATATTTCAAAATATTTGTCGAAGAATTAAGGAGTCGTTCCAACGAGATTATCACTTTCATTAGCAATCTTTGTTTCGACATTGATGCAGGCTGCTCTGAGTCCGATAAAAGTTATCACGAATCCATCAAAAGAAAAGACGAAAGAGTATTTAAATTATTCGTGATCATGGATAAATGTATATCTTTCACTGAACGATTGGACAAGGATAAATGTCAGCCGAAATTCATGAATTTAACAATAAAAAATTCAAATTCGTCTTTATTCGTGTCGTATTTGACAGAGAAT